CATTTCCGAGTCATGATAGATCAGAGGAGCTTGAAGTTCTTATTGGAACAATATATTATCACTGAGGAGCATCAATGATGGTTATCCAAGTTGCTTGGATATGACTTCGAGATCCAGTATCGATCGAGCTTAGAAATCAAAGCTGCAAACACCTTGTCCAGAAGAGTCAAGAAGCCTTAGTTAGCAGACTTGTCAATACCCATGATCCTAGATTGGGAAGCTTTGAATCAGAAGATTGCACATGATGAAGGACTGAGGTAGATCAGAGTTGATTTGCTGCAAAACCCGAATAGTCATCCTGATTACACACTGAGAGGAGTTCAGCTACTTCATCAAGGGAGATTCGTTCTACCGAGGGGATTGTGATACATCCTCAAGCTATTAAAGGAGTTTCGTGGCAGTGCAATTGGAGGACATTTAGGAGCTCAAAAAACTTACAGTCGATTGTTAGCAGAGTTATACTGGGTTGAAATGAGCCGTAATGTAGAGGACTGGGTAGCTAGATGAAATGTGTGCCAAAGGCACAAATATTTAGCCATAACGCCAGGAGGTTTACTATAGCCACTAACCTTGCCAGAGAGGGTGTGAAAGGAGGTGACGATGGATTTCATTAAGGGATTATCACGACCGGAGGGGTTTTCGGTGATACTGATGGTAGTGGATGGTTTGAGCAAATATGCACACTTCATTCCTCTGAATCACCCTCACACCGCGATCTCTATGGCTACTGTTTTCCTACAAGGAGTGGTGCACTTGCATGGATTTCTATAAGCCATTGTGTCAGACAGAGACAAGGTGTTCCTTAACTACTTAAGGAGGGAGTTGTTTGGTTTATATGGGACAGTCTTGAAGAGAAGTACAACTTATCACCCCCAAACACATGGCCAGACATAAGTGGTCAACAAAGGTGTAGAGACCTATTTGAGATGCTTTGTATCAGACATGCCGAAGAGTTGGGTATGGTGGATTGCTTCGGCCGAATATTGATATAACATCTTGTACCATTTAACAAGAAAGACAATTCCTTTTAGGATTCTCTATGGGAGAGATCTATCTCATTTGATTCATTATAGATAGAGCACTACACTAGTGTTCAGTGTAGAGTAGTAGTTAGAAGAGGGGGACATGGTATTATCTGAGCATAAGGGACATTTGTTGAGATTCCAACAGATCATGAAAAGGAAGACCGATGAGCACATGAGAGAAGTAAACTTCGTGTCAGGAGATATTTTTTACTTAAAATTGAGGCCATACATGTAAGAAAATACTAGCCAGGAAGAGGGATGGAAAATTGTCCTTAGGATACTTTGGGCCTTATGAGGTCTTGTAGCGCTTTGGAGCATTAGCTTATCAATTGAGATTATCACCCTCATCACCTTTGCACCCAGTATTTCATGTCCCACAACCGAGGAAGGCGATAGGAGAGCACACATTATTGTTACTACCCCGAATTTGACAGAGGACATGGAGGTCATGCTGGAACACCTAGAAGTAGCATGTGTGCTTGGAGGAGAGATAGGGGCATAGGAGGTGCTAAAGAAGTGGAAGGACCCGCCGAAGCACGATACCACATGGGAGCCATATGAGACAATTAGGATACAGTTCCCCCCTTCCATCTTGAGGATAATGTGTATTTTGAGGAAGCGAGTATTGATATGAGAGTGGGTAGTCAGCTCAACCAGCAAGGGCCAAACCATCAAAACCTGGGTAGAAACAACGTGGGTGGAAACAGTAGGGGTTTTGGTCCCCCTTGTGGGGCCCAACAAGGCTTTGATTAAATATGCTAGAAGGATAAATAAGGAGGGAAATATTGAAGGACATAATTTAAATTTTGAAATAAAGTAGGATAGGGAAATTAATTAATGTAAGGAGGCTGTTTTGGGGGAAATTAGGAGAGCTTATTTGTGGTTGATTCTAGGGTTTATTTTAATTATGTATGTTTTGAGTTTTACTAGAGTTTTTCATTGGAGAGTTTTAGCGACGTTTAGGTCTTATGGGAGAGACGATCTACCTCTCTAATTGTAGATCACATGTATCTTGCTTTCACATTGAAGAAATAATACAAAATCTGCCATCATTTGGGCATTCTTGTAGTTTTCATAGTGATTGTTTGCTACTTTTTTCATTGTAGACATATCGGTTTCTCTCTCTCATTTCTTAAGGGAGGGCTGACAATGAAGGCATTATAGTAGAAAAAATTCAAAATTCTGGTAAAGGCAATGAAGGGTCTGATACAATTTTAAATTCAGTGAATTAGAGAGGGAAAAAGGCTTAATTTTATCTTAATAAAGCAACAAAAAACTATATAATCATGCTAATTGCCCTAATATAATCCTTTATAAATCAACTACCCAAATATAGAAGGAGATCGACATGGTCCAGGTGAGCCTCCTATGGATCTTCATGCTGGTTGTGGGATCAAGGGCCAAGGGATGATTGTGGTTTAACAACATGATCCCGGTGAGCCTCCCATGGATCCTTATGTTGGCCGTGGGATCAAGGGCCAAGGGACGGCTAGGATTTAACATCAATTATTTGTAAATTAAGTAATAAATAAATCTCATAATTATTCCATCAATCCAATAAATGCAGATATGATGTTATATTTTTGTGATCTATTTATTTATTTTTTCTCTATGATTTAAGTGAGTGCCATAATTTAGCTGGTGAATGAGTCTTCTAGCCTATAAAGATTGAATATTTTGTTGTTAGATATGTACTTCTCACTAAATTCTTATTTACTTCTATATCCCTCGAATCCTTAAACACGAAAAAAAAAACTATGCCGGTTAAATTTCTTTTGTCAAAAGTACCACTCTAATTTAATTATATCTAAGAATCCAAGTATACTCATTAAACTTAAGCATTCACTCTCTTTTAGATTGCCATAAGATCACTAGACCGTAGGCCAACCTCTAATGGTTGTTGACCACTACCAACCTCTAGAGGACTGCCACTTGTTTTTGGTTACTAAACCACCATTGTTTGTTGATCAAGAGGTGAAAGGATTAAAATCTTTTATATTTAATTTTTATAATTTTTGTTATGTATAATTGAATGCTTTGAATATGTATGTTACTAAACTTAATTGTACTATGACTTTTGGGGGTTGATTAATGTTTTGTTGTCTTTTTATTTTTTCTTATTCAAATGATGCACATGATGGACAGCCTGCCTCATCTATTAACTGTTTAATTCTTGTTCGTGGAATGAGCAATCGATGAGGCATAACCTGTTAGTGTGTGGAGTATGCGGGCTTTGTTGAAAAGTGCGTGGTTGTTGGATGAAGTCTTCGTAGAATATGTTTCATAATATAAAGCTCAGAAAATAAGGCTTTGCACAAATTTTCTCTATTTCAATATCTTAAAAACCTTCCAAATCTCTAATGTTCCATTTTAGTTTTTATTTTTTATTTTTACTTTTCAATAGATAGAATTGTAATTCAACTATTCAGCCAGATTGATTCCACCCCATCTAACTTTGGATTCTAATAAGCTGTTACGAACTCATCCTAATTTTCAACTTGTTACAATAGTGAGTAGATTTAGGCGGAGATGCTACGATGGCCTTTCATTTAGTGTTCTAATCTTTTCTGTCTTGATCTTGAATCATTTTTTTCCTTAAAAGTAAATAATTATATATATATATAATTTTTAAATTTTGTTTGTTACCTGAGGCGGAACTGCCTATTGGGTAGGGGCATATATTAGTGATTCTGTCTTCAAAAAAAAAAAATTTTTGAACAGAAAAAATGCGAGTTTCTAATTTTTGAAAGATAGATTAAATTTTGCTTTTTACATATAATATTAATATAATAACATATAGATAATTGGGGTAATTTATTAGAATAATAATTTTATCTATTCTTGTATACTTGTTTAAAATTGATTGGAAGGTGTATAAAAATGAAATCTAAAATATTTTCTACTATATATTAGAAAGCTGTTAATTTTTTATTTAATAATTATAACGTAATATAAGAATTTGATTTTAAATTTTTTCTTATATATATTTTTATTTTTTTGCCCCCCTAAAAACTAAAGCCGGTTCCGCCCCTGTTTGTTACTCTTTCATGTTAAAGTTTTGGTTGCTCAAGTTTTCTCACCATATTTTGGATAATGTCAGTTATATTGTTGGCTTGTCCTTAGATTGGGTCCAGGGTTGACGTGATAAATTTTTTTTTTAGCCTATTATAAAACTGTTTCATAGGGTTTTAAAATATTTATGGAATTATTTAAATCAGAATTTTATGCCTTACTAATAAGTTGATTACTGAACAGTTTATGTTAGATATGGAAAAACAAACACCGGCAGAGCAAATCTGAAAGAATCCCCAAAATGATGGGGAAAATCAAAAGACTTCTTGAATGAGTCTATATCAACTAAATGTAGATTAAAGCATTCATAATTCATTAAGGCTAGGATTTTACTTCCATTTGCACTCAGATAGAAGAATAAATACTGCTGTTTTTTCTCCTCCCTCTCTACTCAATTTCATATACATATTTTTTAAATTAAAACTGAACTAGAGTATGGGATTGGAAAGAGAGATTTAATTTTGAGTTCTTATAGCACTCGTACAACCAAGAACCTTCCATAACTAAATGTTATGGTTCCCCGGTTTAAAAAGTGAAAACAATGATGCGCCTAAGAAAATTCATGTACCTTTATTAAGAATCTTTAGATTTATAAATTTCTCCTTAATTTGGATGTTTATCAGTCTGAAATTGATCATTCAATGCATGGGTCATAAGGCTACCAATCATTGAGATTTCTCTAATCTCAATTTGCATGCTACATATGTTGATGAATCTGCATTGCCCTGTATAATATAAGCTACGAATGTTTTGCATCTCTTATTTTTTGCTTTACCAGTCGAATTTCTTTTCTTGTACATGTTTTCCATGTGGGTTTTGCTGATTATAGAACTTCTAAACATTGTTGTCTTATGTATTGAAATATTATTTGAGATGTGGAATGGTCTTCCTACATTATTTCAGGCTTACTTATCCCTTCCCGAGGGACATGCCACTGCTGCTGGATTAATAGCAATGATGACTGATCATTACAATATTCTGGTGAGCTCCAACATTGGCTGCCATCATTTTTTTTGAAAGTGCTGCACTTGGTTTTCGACTTACTTTACTGATGGTGCCCTTTTTCTGGAATTTTTCCAGTGCATTGAAACAGCATGTGCTGCCCTTGGTTTGCGACTTACTTTATTGATGATGCTCTTTTCTGAAAATTTTCCAGTACACTTGTAATGTCATGTGCTGCACTTGGTTTCCAACTTACATTATTGATGATGCCCTTTTCTGGAATTTTTCCAGTGCATTTAAACATCATTTTTCTTGAAATTGAATATTTGAGAAAACCGCTATAGTAGTTCCTGAACTAAACACTAAGACATGTCATCATATACCTACTTAAGCATGCCAAAAGTACAAAGTTCATAGATAGAAGTTTACTATGTTGTTTGTTTTGGCAGTTCTTGTAACGCTAACGGGAACCAATTTTTATCCAATCCAGGCCTCTTTGATTGAAATTTATGTGTTTAATCTTGTCAGAAACATCACATATATCAGTGATTTGAGCAACATTGTTTTTCATTCTACAAGTTTGTTTTATTTTGTAACTTTGGTTAATTGGAACATACTTATCATGATGGTTTTGAGAAATAGACGTATTTTTTATTTTGTAATGTTAGGTTGGTCCGTGTGATTTGGCTTGTGCTCACGCTAGCTTATTTTTTGATTAATTCCAAGTTTAGTTGAAGGATTTTGAGACAAGTTATGGTGTTATTTTGGAGATGTTGGCATGATGTCATTGTTCTATTTGAATATCAGGAATTATATACATATATATACACACACACATGCGAGATATGAGTTGCTCGTAAATGTCTAGATATGAAGTGTTCGAGGCCTTTGGCTGGGTATATCCTTGTAGAATTTTTCATAATGTTTTTGATGAACTAATAGACAATCACCCAATTTTTAGAATTTTGTTTAAATATTTTGGGCGCGTTTATAGATGTTTAGATCACCTTACATATCAGCATGGTCTTTAGCAGCCTAATTTTGGGTTATGCTAAATGGCAAACGTTAAATTTTAATCCCAGTATTGTTTATGTTCTTCATTTGATGGTTCATGCAATTACCAATTTTCCATATTGGTGTTATGTTGATATTTCTTTTTATGTGCCCTTCTTCATAGCATTTACTTAAAGGACAAGTTCCTCACTTCTATGTTCAATATTAAAGTCCGTGACTGTGGAAAGGAGGGACAACTAAGTATGTGGTTTTCAAACTTGGTAGCCCTGTATGTATTATCATATTTATAGGAAGCCTTAAAACCTTACTTTTGACAATTATTTGTTGTTTGATGACGAGTTTCCTTGCATTTGTTATCAGCCAGTCTTCTGTGGTTTTAAGGCATTGAAGAAAAATATTTATTTAGTGAGGAAAAATAATTATTTAATGATGAAAATGATAATGTAATACAAGGATATATATAGACAATGATCACAATAATTGATGAGGATCACAATATATGACAATTAATGTGAAATTAAGCTGTGATCCCTCCTAAAAGAATCTCAATTAACTATTATAATTCCGATACAGTCCTCAAGTTGGTTCATATACGTCAATTATGCCCAACTTGTTCATCAGGAGTTCAAAATGAGGTTTATATAACCATTTGGAATATCAGCCACTTGTAAAAAAATTAATCTAAGATGTTTAAATATTATTTCACCTAAAAATAAATATTTTCAAGATAAATACTAGTAGTAAATAATATTTAGAGAAAATGAACGAACTCAAGAACTTCAAGGAAAGTTTCTCTATTGAGTGCACTAAAGTTTCTGAATAAAGGATTTTATCATGGAAAGATCTAGAACACTTAAAATAAAGATCTAAATTTCATCTCTCAAAATTTGTCTTGAAAATGATGAAATAGAAAGATGAAATGTGTTGCAATTTTTGAAATTAGAATCAAGCCTGATATGAAGAGAATGAAGGATATTTACAGGGAAAGTGTAAGTTAAGCTTATTTAAAAAAAAAAAAAACTAATAATCCAACATTATTTTATCAACTAATAATATAATGTTTAATAAAAAAAACATATATTTTCTTAAAAAATATAAGATTCAAACAACTTGTCACATTGTAAGTCTAAAAGTCTTGAAATGCATTCAAAAGAATGAAAAAATGGCTTGCCTACTTGTAATATTAAAACCAAAACATTATAAATTCAATTTAAATTCAAAGTAGGTCATGCAATCTATCAAATTGCATTTATCGAATCTTGTGAATCCAATGGAATAAAAATTAAGCCGAAATTAAGTGAATATAAAATAAGTTTTACTAAAAATAAAGATTTGTATATATTTACCCCATTTTAAAATTTATTAAATATTTATATAAAAATATGAAATTTTTTAGATAAACTCACTTATATATTAGTAAACTTTTGTAAAATATACTTAATAAAATTTCAAGTATATAGGCTTATTTCTTTTAATTATCATAAATAATTATCTTTATGTAATATTGATAAATTTTATATAATATATGAAGCATTTAAAAATATTTAAATTAACTTAAAATTGATTTAATTAAGAATTCTTATTTAAGCTTATTATCTTTAATTGATAATATATAATTAATCGATATATTAAATTGTGAGCAAATCAAGCCGTATAAGTAACTTTAATGGACTTTTAAAACACTTCCAGATGGATATAACTTGAATTATTATTTTTAAAGCTCCAAGCTATGCATCTTGATTCTTCATAGGTTCTTCTATGATCAAATTTTGATCGAACTCGAGTTGTACAATGTACATCACATACAAATAGTCATTTTATGCATCCATGAAATCAATGCATCTGAAATACATAACATATATTTTAGAAATCTAACCATACATTTGTTATCATTAAAATTAATGGAAAAGGTTATGGGGCTCATAAAACCAACAATCTTTCTCTTTTTTATGATCATAAACTTATGTTGAGCATAATTATAATGAAGTTACACATTAACCTTTCATCATATTTTTGAGCATTAAAAAGAATATATATATGATAATTTAAAAAATTCTTTCTTTCAAATGTGATTAGTGCATAAAATAAATAATATTTCCCCTCTTGAATGTATGCATGTTGTAAGTTTATGATCAACATATAATTCTTCTTGCCCATTGACTACATGTCCACATCAAAAAAAAGTTTAAATATTAGGGTCTATCATCACGAACATATGTCTTAATAAATAAAATCTCTCTTTTGCTAGTAATTTTGTAAAAATATATGTTATTTGTGAATCTATATTTACAAATTCGATATCCACATCACTCTTACAAACATGATCTCTAATAAAATGGTGTCTGATCTCTATTTGTTTAGTTCGTGAGTGTTCTATTGAATTTTTAATTAAACTTATAGCACTAGTGTTATTACATTTAATTGGTACGTATTTTAGTTTAATTCCAAAGTATTATGATTGTTACTTTAGCTATATAACTTGAGCGACATAACTATCTGTAGCTATGTACTCAGCTTTAGTAGAGGATAAAACTACGAAATTTTATTTCTTAGAAGACCCAAAAGTATACTATGATCCTAAAAATTGATGTGTTAGTGGTGCTTTTTCGATCAACTTTACAACCAACATAATATGCATTAGAATATTTAACTAAGTCACAATAATGAATTTTTTCGATACCACAAACCTAAACTAGTAGTTCCTATCAAGTAGTGCAATATTCGCTTGACTATTGTTAAGTGTGATCCCTTAGGATTAGTTTGAAATCTAGCACACAAACATATGTAAAAATAATATAAGGTCTACTTGCTGTAAGATACAAAAGTGAACTTTTCATACTCCTATAAAGCTTTTGATCTACTGGTTTGCTTAATTCATCTAAATCAAGTTTAGTTTTTTGGCTAATAGGAGTTTTACTTGATTTGTTTCTCTTCATGTCAATTTTTTTCTATTAATTCATTTTTATACTTAACTTGACATATGAATTTGCCAGACTCTAGTTGTTTTACTTGAAGTTCTATGACAAAAATATTTTGGTACTTTATTAATTTTTTATTAGTTAACAATAAAACCCTAAAAACTTTCAAAGAAGGCTTATTTTTACTTTCTACATACTATTTTCTTGTAGAGTATTGACAAACGAACCTAGGTGAACAAACCTTTTTTCAATAAAGAATTGACAAAAAATTGAAATTCTTATGACAATTATTACTTCCTAAAATTTGAATATCCTTTTGAATTTGTGTTTTCAATATGGTATAGAAATCTTAAAATATTTTTTCTTCAATTTTTTTTGTTTTCTTTCATTAGATAAACTAGCTTAGTCTGGCGTGATCACAAATAAAAGTATTAGATCATTTCTTTACCAGAAAGTGTAGATCTCCAACGAGGCCACTAAATACCACTGTGATTCATAATAAAAGGAGTGGCAGGTTTATAAGGTTGCTGAGAATAGGATGCATGACAATGTTTGGCATGTTGACACCCTTTACATTGAAAATTACAGGCTTTATATTCTAAAGGAGATTTGGAAACAAGTTTTTTAAATATTGAAAATTGATATGACCTAGCCTACAGTGCCACAACATAATATCACTTTTCTTAGAATCAGAGATTAAGCAAGTTTTTTCTTATATGATCCATCCAAGAGGGATTTATCTTTAAAATAGTAGAGCTCTTCCTATTTCCTTGCACTGCCAATCATCCTCTCCAAGGTCAGTTTCTGAAACTCACACTAAGAATAATAGAAATTAGCTTGATTGTATTGATTTGAGTTAGTTTTACTAATGAATAATAAATTGCAAGACAAATAAGGAACATAAAGAACTTTATGAAGAGTTAATAAAGGGGTGAGTTTGATCTTACCTATACCAGAACAAATTGATAGAGAACTGTCGGCAAGTTTGACCTTTTTATTACGAGAAGAATAGTTTATAGAAACTAGTCATGTGATATGTTGCACCTGCTTTAGTGGTCCATGTGTGAAATTAGTTAGAATTGACACTTAAACATGTAGTGTTCAAAGAATTACCCTTCTGCGCTCAATAGGAGAGTGAAGTTATAGATAATTTTGGAGATAACTTGTATGGTGTTCTAATTGTTCCTTGGTGAAAGGGACCATCTTAAAGTTGATAGGAGGCTCTTGAGAATCCCAGTTAAGGTTTGGTAGGCTCGTCCACCGTGTGTGTATTTAGGCTTCTAGTTTGTATGTTTGTAAAGTTTCTGAGAGGTCTACTTTATATGCCATGATTTTTTAAAATGTCTGCCCCACGATTTTTTTTATTGTTATTTTCGGAGTTAATAACTTTGAATACTAGCGTCAAGCTTTTAATTTCGGGATTTGAAATGATTTCCTTGCTGTGTAGTATAGCTTTCCTTTGTGCCTCTTCACGTCTTAGTTCCGAGAAAGCATCTTAAATGGAAGACAAGGGTTTTTTTTTTTGTTGAGGATGCGGTCTTAGACTATAGAAATTCTGATTGAGGTTGGTTAGGAACATGCAGACCGTACCATTTTATTCTCTTTTATTGTGACCTACATAGTCGTTAGAGTTTTCCTAAACCATTGTCATAGCATTGACTAAACTCTTGCCATTATATCACCAATTAATTATAAAAGGTGGTAAAATAATAATTATTTTTCTATGATTGCCAAGGTCGGGTTTTTAACTCAAATATTTGTGAAGGATTTTCAATATTTTAGTATTGGCTGCATATCGCCTCCTAGACATCTCGGGCAGTGGTCAGGAATAGGTGTGGCTTTCCAATGGTTGGTTCCATTGAGTTGATGAGCCACACGATGACATGTAAGTTCTCAGATTGCCATTTTTTTCAGGTTAGGATATCCTTTAGCTTGTTTCGCTCCCTATCCTGTTTAATGTTTGATTCTCCCTCTTCCATCGATAGCTAATTTTATAGACTGAGCCTACTTGTGGTAGTTTTGTCTGTTGAATTATTTTGTTGTTGTGATGCGTAATAAAGAGTTTTGAGGAAATCTATGACAAAAATATTAGTCGACAACATTGACATGAGGTTACAGATTCTGGTAGAATTGGTGGGGTCTTTTACACCAACCATTGTGACTCCGAGAGTCAGTTTGCTTCTATGACTATGTGAGAGGAATGAACATATTAGCTTTGTGAGATAGACAAGCTCATTTGCTCTGATGTTGTTCATAAAATGAAGAAGGGAAAGCATGATGGCTTTGATACCATGTGGTTTTATGTCATTGCGAAAAAGAGTTATTCATTGATGAAAACAATAACATAATATAAGGATTTGTATAGAGGAGGATAACAACACAAGAAAATTAATGAGAAATGAAGCTGTGATCCTCTTACTAGAGGCAGGAATTAAATTATAAAATACTATCAAATCTACTAATGCAGAATATAATTGATTTATTAGCAAAAGTAACATAAATCAGCTGCATCTTAATTTCACTCAAATAATCCGTCTCTTTCCAAATTTTTTTTGAAAATTTCTATTGATTTATGTTCTAGGTTACATTGTACACTACACTTATCCTTTTGTATGTATATATTTCCTAGGTATGCCAATGAGTTGAAGACAACTCTTTTTCTTTAAGTGTTGGTTTATTGATATTTATTTATCCATTTTTCAAGTTGCTGAAATTAGGCCTGTCAAACCACTTTTCATATATTGTGAAATTAAGCTGCATGTCATGTTGTTGACAAATGAATTATGTAATTTGATAGTCTTCTATTAGACCGTTTTGCAGCATTCTATTAGACATTTTAATATTATAATGATATCAATAATCTGTTCTGAAACCGGTTTTTGATCATATGATTTTCACTTGATGGCACATATCTAATAATATGTTGCTTACCCTGAGCTGAGTGGAAAACCTTGATATTTTTCTGTTACTTTTATATTAGTTCGAAAGGCTGTTCATTATTATTGACATATGTGAAGAAAATGGCAGGAAGGTAGTGATAGCGATCAAGAAAGCAATGATGCATCAAGAACTTATCGCAAGACACCAAAGCGTGGGAGAGGGAAATTTAGGCTCATGTCCAAAGGTTCTGATGGGCCTTATACTGATTTACCGCAATATCAAGCAGCCTCATCAAGTTATGGGTGCCTGTCTCTGTTGAAATGGAAGCGTTCTGGAGGTAGACTTTTCAATTCATCATATTCATCTTTGCGTTTTGGTACATTCATAATTGAGTTTTTAAAACTCTTGTTACTCAGCCTCCTTCCTGCCTTGCCACCTCTCTTTTTTCTTCATGAATAGATTTTTGTGATCTGGTTATGCGTTTGTTTTGTTCGAAGTCTTTCGTTTTGGTTAAGTAGCATATAGAGGTATGTGTACTGCAAATTAGTTTGTCTTCTTCCTTGGGCCGCACAGGATTCATTAAACTATGATTCATGCTGCTTAATTATTTTAATCTGAAGCATTTTTTATATTGGCTATATTATTATCAGACAAACATTAAAGTTTTAAAATATGCCCTACCAGGGTAATTCCTTATAAAAATTCCTTAATTACCCTATTATTTAGACTGGCTTTAGGTTTTGGGCAAACTAGACCATTCTAAACCTAGCCAATTCCCAGGCTTAATATAACTACAGTTCATGTGTGTTAAGACATGTTAGGTGCTTATTTACATACGCCATTGGATTTTTGTTCATATCATTGTACTTTACAACTTTTCTGCACTTTCTTATTTAAAAGAATGTAAACTTATAGCAACATCTTTTACTTTTTGATCTGTTTATTAAACCTTTTGATTCAATAGCAGATGGCATATTTTTGCAAACCTCAGTTTTGATGATGGTTGTAGGATGGTGCATCCAGTTGCATCCATTCTGTAGTCTTGAGATGAAAGTAATTTAAGTCATGAATCAATGCCAGATTTATTTGCAGGTAGCAGGCCTCGAGCTGTTGGAAAAAGGACCCCACGCATCCCTGTTCCATTTTTTCTTAAAGAAGATAGGAATAGGATAGTTTCACCGTGTAAACTAGGCTTGAAATCTGAGTGTAATACTGTGGATGATGAGGGTGCCCATGTGGCTGCTCTAGCACTGGCTGAGGCTTCACAACGAGGGGGCTCACCACAGATTTCAAGAACTCCAAGCAAAAGATGTCACCTAACGTACTCCCCTGCTCCAAGTGGTGAAAATAAGGTAATTATCATGCTCTTGTAGAAATATTTTTGGGAAATATATGTTTATGCTGACCTGTTTTTTTCTGGATAAAATAAATTGCTGGATCACAGTTTGGGGATTCCAAATTCATTAATTGTCGAGTGGATGATGATCATCTTGAAGGCAGCTTAGGAAGCAGGGAGGCTGAGAATGGGGAGTTCATTAAAGAAGCAAGTATATCTGAAACACGCCAAAAATCAAAGAAAGTGCAAAGGAAGAGATCAAAGGCAGTTGAAGATGAGCCATTTGATGATGACAGGGAAGCTTGTAGTGGTACTGAGGAAGGTCTTAATGTAAGAAAATCCAAGGATGACACTGAAATAGATATTTCAGGTGGTAGAGTTTTGCGGCCTTCTAAAGGATCTAAGAAGCGAAGCCGCCAACTATTTTTTGGTGGTATGCTTCAACAATCTCTTCCAGCTTTTAATTCATCAAATGGCTTTTACGTATGAATTTCTTTTGACCACGGGTTATTTTGCTGTATTTACAGTATGATTGTGCACTTATTGCTGCATATCATATGCATTTTTTACTATACCACAATATGATCCTTGAATGATATGAGATGAACATCTGTTAATTCGTTTACTTTATTTTCATCTCATTTGTTTCTTTTAGTTCGTTTAAGATTTGTCTTGTGGTGCATTCTTTTTGTTCATTTATGGAAAACAATGGTACGACCACAATCCTTTATCCTAATTATTTCCCATTTTTCCATTCACCCCCTTGAGCCATACAATGTTGTTTAATTTTTCTTTCATTAAGTCGTACTATTTGAGTTAGACAAGACATATAAGATTAGAGAGAGTCACCTTAGATGGTTTGGTCATGTAAAATGGCAGCCTTCCGATGACCTTGTTAGGAGAGTAGATGTATTAGATTTGGCTTATGTTAAGAAAAGTTGAGGTAGACCTAAAAAGACTTGGTTACAAAATATTATAAATGATCTTTCTTTATTAGATTTAAATGAGAATTTGACTCTTAACATGACACAATGGAGAAAAATGATTCATGTGGCCGCCCCCACGATGTCGGATAAAGTCTTTATGTTATTGTTGTTGCTACTGCAAGCCTTACTATTTGATGCCAAATCTTTAAATCCTTTATGTCCATTCATTCGATGACTAGTGTTACCATTGGTGTTTAACTATTTCTTTGCGTAACATCTAGCTATGGTACCTTTCATTCATCTATTTTGATCCTATTTGCACATTTTTTTGGTGCAATTTTGACCTCTACTTTATTTTCCTACACCATTTAAATCTATTTCATTATTATTATTATTATTATTTTCAATAGGTGCCACACTCACTATCTCTCATGTAGTCAATTATCATTTTGTTCGATGGAGTTTTACCATACCTCTCATTTAACATTATTATTTATGCCACATTTAATTTGATTGATAATGATTTATTAGTGCTTAACTCTTAGATATGTATAAAATAATTGATCCAATTACAATTTTATAGAATTGATATTGAAGTCTTTGAATGATGTTCCAAGTGAGGTACTATGTATGCTTTTTTGCAAATAGATGTAGTTCTATTTGATGAGACCACTGAAATTAAGCGGTAATTAGAGTAATAGAGAAAATATTTAGAAGTTAAATAACATGATTGATAAAATAAAAGCTAATCATGTAATATTGTAATTTTAGTGATCTTGATATTTACTAAATATAAACCTATATTTTTAAAAATAGGTATGCCTAAGTGTGGTAAATTTAAGTATCATATATCTATTACATAGAAAAAATGGATGTATCTAGAATTAAAGATGGGTGGTTTAAAAAAAAAAAGAAATGCCTTGATATTATTTTGTCACTAAGAGAATATCATGGAGACTTAAAGTTGCTAAAAGAATTCTTGCTTGCCAATCCAGGACGATGTGAAGGAAATACCTAAGCAGAGGCAACGCGAATAAACCAATATCCGCTTGCTTAGTCCACATCACAAGAGTGATACCCGCCATCATGGACGGCAAACAAATAGTCTCTCCAGTGAGCACAAAGAAAATGCGGGCCAAATAACTCAACATGATGTCCACCTTGTGAACTCCATCGATGGATGCCGCCCACATAACCTTCAATGAAGATGGCAGAAGAGCTAGAGTGAATGCGCACATTGGTTGTCACAACTCTTATCTCCATCTCTCAGATTGGCAATATTCTATAGGAAGTTTTGTTAATATATTTTTAAATATGTTTTGATAAGATGAACTTGGTCGCTTCTCAGCTAACCCTCACTACAGGACCACCCTATGGTTTCTCTAGGGAGCGTTGAGATACCGAAGGGGTACTCTCCCAATTTGTTACCTGATGCAAGGGTGACCACCAATACATGGCGATGATAGATTTCATCATGGTTGATGCCTTGGCGACCAATGCCATATTTAGCAGATCCCTGCAAAATGCTCTCAAGGTATCCACATGCCATATCACAATTAATTCCAAGCAAAAATAGGAGAAATTACGGTGAGAGACGACCTCACCTAGTTGTGCAACTACTACATGCGAGCATTGGACAAGGTGAAAAATACATAAAGAAATGCCCTCACTCTCATATCTTTACTTATGTTTATTTCAAGAAAGAAATAAAAGATTCTTTTTTTTTCTTTCATTCTCTTTTGCATAAGTGAGTCCTTAATGAACAACATAAGTACATGTAAAAGAAAACCTATAGAAAACACTTAGTGAACTCATGCTCCATCGAGATCTAAACATGAGAAGGATTCACCCATGCAGGATAATTGCCCTAACAGTGATGCTATCAAGAAATTCTGTAGTTTTTATATTATTTTGAACAATAGTATATTTTGTTTTGTTTTCTTTTTTTTTTTAGCTATCCAATGATGGGAAAGCATCCAATGAACATGGTAGGTAGTGCATATGGCTTGATAGACCTTTGGTTTGCTGGCTTGATTGGTCCGTAGCTGCTGGTGGTTCTCGGTTGGCTGTTTGGAGCATTCGTTATTGAGCTGGTTCTCTAAGTTGCTTGAGCTGAAGTTTAGTAGCTCATTAATATCCAAAAAGGTACCTCATTATGAAGTTTACTTTTGGAGTGGCCTTGTCCCTTCCCCTTCCCCTTTTCTTCTTGTCTCTTGTGCGGGCTCTTTCCACCCTTTCTTCTCGGGCTTCTAACCTCTTTCGTCTCTCCGCAAGTGCCACTCCATCTGTATCCTTCTTCTCAACAGTAAAGCAACTTTAGGGTGTCGTATCATAGTTTATTTGGAAGCATTTGGGACAGTCTTGCAGTGGTGGACCATCGGTTTGCTAGTTCTATGCACTTTACTTATTTAACCTACAAATTCGATGCATGAGAGGAACCCGCTCTGACGGTTGTCTGAGGATAGCGTCTTTTTAAATTTCTTTATTTCTTTAAAATCTCCTAGCATCTTTGTTGTGTCTGTCAAGTTTCGGGTCGTTTGCGTTTATTTAATAAAGTTTGTTTTAAGTTCTACTCATTGTGTCAGTTTTTCTCTTGTTTTTCTACATCAAACAGTCGGGGAACTCGGGATGCCGAGGCCAAACGTGCTGGTGATTCCCCCTTTTGGGCGAGCTCCTAGTAAAATTCAAAGAAAGAAATTCAACAAGTGTTAGATACGCGACTCCACAATAATCAAATGTGATCAACTACGGTGGGAACCAACCGATTCCCACTCAGGCTTAAGCTAAAGAGCAAGTTGAATTACTCCTTGAGGGGAGCCAAGGCCCCCCAAGCACTTAAGGCCTATAGGCGAGCCAAGGCCCCCAGGCAAAGGGAAGTTACTTTTCAAACAAGGGCTGCTTCTTATTCTTTGCCGTGTAGCTAAGGCAAGTCACATTTCGATCTAAAAATTTTATTCCGACTAGCTTGCCTGCTTTAAGGAAAAAAAAAAAAAGAAAAGTGAAAGAAAAGAAAAGAGAAAGAAAAGAAAAGAGAAAGAATATATATAAAAAATAGTAATAGTAATACACTAAGCCACTCACTTGCCTCTCCACATGTATCATTACCAAACAAACTTGTCATCGAACTCCATTATCAAATCGCCTTGCCACTACAAGTTTACTCCCCTCGTAACGACAAGATACATAATGAATAACGTATGAGTTTCCTTTAGATGGCAAGTCTTAAGTGTTCTGACACTCTAGGCGATCGTGAGTACCCAAGCGATGAACCTTATAGGATGACTCCATGATGCAGACAAACTAGAAAGAAAAGTCAAATAGGAAAACACTAGGACACATGAAAACCAAACTCCATTCAATCTTGTATGCAAACATCCAAACAAACGCTAAAACAAACGAAAAGTCGAATCAAACGAAATAAAATTATAAAATAAAAATACTATCCTCAGAATAACCGGCAAACGGTTTCTCACATGCAACGAGAAGTAGGAAAAATATGATAAAATGCTTACGCTTGCAAACCAAGGATCCACCATAGCAAAAAGGGTCCAACGTCCAACCAAACTCTTCCGGCAAATGTTTCCAAACCAGCCAACAAACGTCTCCCAATAGCTCAAGAAGAAGGATACAAGTGGAGTGTAACTTGCGTAGAGAAGAAGAGATTAGAAGCCAAGACGAAATAGGGAGGAGGATGAGGTGGAACAAGCTCTCAAGTTTTCCAAGAGAAGAAACCCTCATGTTTTTAGCAACTTATCTCAAGTTAATCAACAACCTCCTCAAGACAAAAACATCTCATATTTATAAGAGATAAATGGGAGCCAAACAACTAACTTTTACCTCCAACCAAACCAATCAGGTAAGGGGAAGAGGAAGACCAGCAGTTAGCACAAAACAAATCCTAAAGACAGCATAGGAATCAGGTAGGAGAAGCTACGGGAACACAGCCAGGGAGGGACCCGAAGAGCCAACACAGAAATCGGGCTAGAGAAGCCACGGGAAAGCAGCCAGGGGGAAAACCAAAAAGGCAACCAGCACACAGCATCAGTTCACGGGAACAACACAAAGAAGAAACCGAGGATACACAAGAAGGAGAAAAAACAAGCTCCACTCCACATACCTTTACAAATTTAGGAGCTAGGAAGTGCAATTACTTCTCCAAATAATGAGCTAAACATCAGCTCAAACATTAATGAGCTAGCACCAAGAAGATCTCAACATTTCAGCTCACAACCAGAGCAGCCAAAGCCCAACCCGAGAGCAGCCAAGGCCCAAACAGAAAGACAACAAGCAGCCTAAAGAATAGAAGGAAATAAAATGCTAGCAAGCCCAAGCACATCCTACCATGATCATTGGATGATTTCCATATTGGATAGCATAAAAAAAATGAAAAACACAACTATAATATTCAAATTTCATCAAAACGAAAATAAACTCAAACATAAATGCATCACTCCCCCCTCTCTTTTCGAAACAAGATCCACGAACTGGTGAGTCTTAGTGGCTACCTCCATGAAGACCAATAGTCTGGAGTAAAGGCGAGGCCCACCAAATGCGACTTTACATGAAGCAACGAGATCACTCTCCTTAAAGTCGTAACCAACTTTCACAATTAAAATTCTACACTGTATCATACTAATGAGTAATGAGAAGAAGACTCAGTTAAATCACAAAAGATCATAAGCCTCCTCGCCACTCATCAGGCGATTTCAATAGCAGCCTATGCCGGGCTTTGAATACACAACATAGTGAGTTCAAGTACACTTGGTCGCTCTAGTATTTAAACTATTACAACTTGTTATCTCATATAAATTAGGTAAACAATGAATCCATGAATAACATATCCGACTACGCTTGCCCATAAGGACGAGTTTGCCAAGATAGCAATTAGGTTCGTGTAAACTTGCTCGGGCCAAAGGTCTCGAACCAAGGTTCTTATGAAATTACTTTATATTATTGCTTTACCGAGTTAAAAACTTGCTTATTTCTTATTAACTTTTTAGGGAGCCTCTGCTAGTTTTATTTTGACTTTGCTCACTCGCCGCGAGCGAGTGCCCACACTATTTTAGTTTTAGTCCCTATATATATATATATATTACCAACTTGCTTTAAAATAAAAGCTGCCTATGGGCAAGCGCCCTCATTCTAACTCATTGAAAGGTGAGTGCCACATATCATTTTGAGAATATATAATAAAGCAAGCTCAAAACTTAGAAAAATAAAAGACAAAAAAAGAATAAGTGAGTAAGAAAGAAAATTTTAATTTGTTTATAATTATTATTACCTGTGCACTCGGCCATTTGGCCTAAAAATGATAAATAAAAATACCCCAAAAAATAAAAAAAAATTGTTTGATGGGCGAGTATGACTCACATATGGCTCGCACTCGCACTCGCACTATCGCTCTTATCGCTATCACTAAATCTGTCAAAAAATTGCTTAGGATCCTTGAACCTAGGAGCGGTCTTGCCTTTGGCAATGAGCTTCCTCTGGCAGAACTTTATCCCAATTATTAAAGGTAGAATTAATCCCCAGTGGCCTAGTTGATTGGCTGGATTGGCTCTGCCGATCCATCAATTTTTCTATTGTAAGTAATTAAAGGTAGAATTAATCCTTTTTGAGCCCTCTTTCTCTCCTTTCTTGTCGGACACACTAGTGAGGCTCATAGAGCTCTTCCGCCTGCCAGCTTGATCGGCCCCCCTTGCTGGGGCCGGGTTGATTAGCTGGATTGGCTCAGTCGGTCCATCATACTCACTCGCAGACTCACCATGTCTACTTACCTCTCTCGAGCTCGCATAATGACAAATAGCTCACTCGAACTGTCGACTTCGCTTTCCTACAACTAATCAGGTGGCGGCACATATCCTAAATTAACATGTAGTGTTGAAAGATTATTCTGTATAGCTAGTTTTTTTATTTTTCTTCATATAGCTTTTCTTGTAGCCCTCAAAATTTTATAAATAAAAGGTGATGAGGAACAATTTGGGACTTTTTTTTTTCCCGAGCCTTTTTCTTAACTATGGACGAAGACTTTACATGTCTAACATTTTTCCTATATTTTTTGATTAAGATGGTAAATATTGCGCTAGCTTACTCTCCTCATCTCTATTTTCTTTATTCTCTCTACTCTCTACTCTCACTAACAAGTTCTCAATACTAGACCAATCTGCCAGTAAAGTCGGGCATCATCCACCAGATAAATTTGAATTCAACAAAAGTTGTGATTTTATAAATTTGAATTAGGTCAACAATGTTTTGTGGATTTGGTGTGCACAGTAAATATGCCATTAATATAAAGTTAGTGATGAGGACATCGGAGATCAACGATTACGATTTTGAGTTATTTATATGTTTCATGTACTTGTTTATTTTATATAGTTGTTTTTCCATTTATACCCTTACGGGTGGTCATGTAGTATTGTAGCCCGAAGGGCATTTTAGTCTTTTATTTCTTTTCTCTTCTTGAGCCTATTTATAGGCTAGTTGTTTTGTATTATGGATGATGATTAGCAAATGAAAATTTTTTCTACTTTGATCTCTTTGTGAGTTCTACACTTCATGTTCTCTTTGTGAGTGCAAATCTCCACGATCTCTTAGTGAGTTCGCCGGAGAGAACTTGATCTCTTAGTGAGTTCTCGTTTTCAAATTATCTAATTTGTGGATGTCCAAGGTGGAAACAAGCGAGGTGAATAAATCCATAGCCGTCGAAGCACCGAAAATTCCCTCTCTTCCCTTCTCCTTGCTCTTGCCGCCGCCCACTCCAAACCGCCCAAAGCTGCCAGCCCGCTGCCTCCATTTTCGCCGGCCAGATCAGCCGCCGCCGGCCAACCGGTCGCCGGCCTCCCGCCGGCCAGTCCCGTAATCCCGTCCCGCCGGCCACAGTCCATCCCGCCCCTCTCAGGAGATATTATTTTGAATTTCAATTGTTTATGAGCTCTAATTGCATTCCTTAAATGATTCCAGAATTTAAGCAATTCTTATTTAATTGATTTCAAGGCAATTTTGAAATTCAAACAGTTGCCTGATTCTCCTATCTGTTAAAGGGAGGTTTCCTTCCTAAGCCTTCAATCTGTTTTAATACAGATTTTGTTCAAATCAGCCATTCAATTACATTGGCCCCACTTTACTAATTTCCCTCAAATTAATTCCCCTCTCACGTGTACGAAAACTGAAAAGAAAATTTCAGTTTTTCTTTGGAGTCTCTCTCTAGTTGCTTTCACAAGCACTCAAGCGAATTCGCTTTCCCCTACAACCGCCGCCCTATTCCCTCTCCTACCCGTGACTCCTCTCCCTCCACGGCTCCATAATTACTCCCTACATCTGAAATTAATTTCAGCTTGCCGCCCAAACCTGAACTGAAATCAAAGGAAATTGACTCCAGTTCCCTCCTTTGCTATCCCCACAACTTTCCACCCTCCTTTGTCATGCTCACGTGCACCCAATGGGAGGAAGAACGGGCTGAATTTCATCTCCCAAACGGGCTGCCAAGCTTTCTGGACAAAGTCCAGTTGCTGTCCAGAATTTTGTAGGCCAGAAAACTGCTGTCCAGCATCCTTGAGAACCAAAATTGCTGTCCAAAATCTGCTCCCCAGCCACCTGCGTGCTGTCCAAAGACTCCAGCAAGGATTGTGGCTGTCCAAGTCATCCAAGAAGTTGTCAAGCACCACCTACTTCCGATCCAACTAACGAAGCACCACCGGAACGTTGTATTACTTCATCCCTTGGGTGAAAATCTTTTCCTAACGCTCTTATCTTCCTAGTTTACTTTTCGTTTATGGTTATTAATGGATTCATGAAGATCAGGTCAATTATTCTCCGCTAAAGCCTAGTAATTAGAAGAGTTGTGTGAGGGATCTTCTCATAGCAACTAATCTTATTGTTAGTATAGGAATTTCTCGTTGAAACCACTCATGTATGCAAAGTAAGACTTAGTTGACTATTTAATGATCTCAACCTCTCGCATGTGTTTAGACCTAAGCTATTTTATCATCTTATAATTTTTATTTTATCGTTTATCATCAAGAGAAAGCTTATAATTATTGTGCTCTAAAATCTAAGCGTGCAAACTTCCTTAATTTAATCATCCATTCTTGTACGTTTCACATCAGTTAGGGATAGTATAAATGAGATTGTTAAGATGGATATATAGCAAAACTAGGGGTAATAGATTAAGAAATGTCTATCTTGGAAGGACAATGTGATTAGCTTATATTGAAATAATGCATTGGAAAATAAACTTAGGTGGCTTTGGTGTGTGCAAGCGTAGGTAGAAGAAGCACCAATTTGATTGGTTGATAAAGTTAAGATCGAAGGATTATGAAGAAAAAAAAAAAGATTGACTAAAATTAGCTTGAATAGGAGTGGTGCATGATTATTAGTGGAGGCTTAATACCCCATGCAACATTAAGTTGGGCAATTGGCGGATGTGGAATCCTTAAAACTAACCCCTAATAATTATGATAATGCTAATGAAGAAAATGATGCTGAGATTAATTTATTCATGCTATGTTCTTTCATCACATTTTTGGTTCTTGTTTTCTTTTCCGGTGCAGATATGTCATAATTTACTTGAAAGGTTGGCTTTCAACTATTTCAAAGCTTCTATCGTTTTCTTGCCTCAAAGGGGATAGCCAAGTGTGAGTCGCAGGTTCATTTGTGAAAAAAATTGGTAGACGCACTTCAAATTTCTTTTAGAGTATCTGTGCTTGTTCCTCATTTGTTTAGACAACATTGGAATAAAGTTGCTCTTATAACTCATCATCAGGAGCTAATGACAATCGTGAATACTTGGTTTCTGCCAATCAGGCACTTCTTGAGTAAATCTGATTATTAATATGTCTCTTTTGAGTTAAACGTTTGGTGACTTTCTTGTTACGTATGGTTTTCTTATGGTGTATTTTTCCTATGTTACTCTAGTTTAAATACTTTAAACCGTGCTGCCTACATAAATTTTCTAGTACTTTAGTAATGTCTATTCTTATAAATTGTCAGGAATTTGCTGGATTAGATGCTCTTTGGTTGCTTTATATCCTTACTAGCCCTTTTCTCCTCTTTCTGTAGATGAAAGCTCTGCACTGGATGCTCTGCAGACGCTGGCTGATCTGTCTCTGAACATCTTATTGCCGACTTCTACTATTGAATCTGGTTTGTATATTTTACTTCTATTGAAGTTCTACTCTGTTCGTTGGCTGAATACTTTGACAGCTATTGAACTATTGATGATATCATTGTTTCCTCATCTCATTACCTATCTCCTGTAATTCTCAAGAATATTCTGTTCTTTTAGTTCAGAGTATAAATCAAAAGGATCTTAAAGTTTCAACTACATGGATACTCCACATCCTATCTTAACTTTCTTTGATATAAGTAATTTTCAGCATGCAAGACGCCAAGACCTTTATAAGATTGCTTTGTAATGCTTGTAATCTCCTTTTGATTGCTTTTCTCAAAAGGCTGTACGTATCATCTGCAAGCCATGTAATGCTTAATGCTCCATTTATGCTGGTTGTTTTTGGTTTGTGGATTCTTCACTAGTTGCTATTTTAATGAACTAAGTATGCTCTAATATTGTGCTGTCACTGTTCTATAGATGTATTGGCACAGTTATTATTCAACCAACTGTTCGTGAGGTATACCTATCCCTCAAAAAAATAAGAAGAAGCCTCACTAATAGTTATTTTTAAAATAAGGGATATGGTTCTCTAATTTTTGTGCATTTGCAGAATGCAACTCGTCCAAGAAATTGATATTGAGAGGGCACTATGCCCCAATCCCCATGATTCCTTCCTAGGTTGGCCCATTTTTGCTTTATAAAATAAAAGAATTACGCACTATGCCAGCAAACCTGCTGTTTCTTTAACATAGTAATCCTTTATTGCTAGTGATCTCTTGGCTCTTTGATATGCTTTCCACTTGATGTAAAATATTTATAATAATGCATTTCTATAACTGATCCTGTTGTAGTCAAATTTATACAATCTTATTATCGGAAGGGTTGGTTTGGTAGAGTTTTAGTAGCATCATATCTTTCTTGTTAAAGAACATAACGCCTCTATTTCATTCTGGGATCTACCTAATGCTACATATTTACAACTGAATGATTAAAGTATAGTGTTTGATAATTTTTATGCAAGATATTATCATGAAATTAGCAAGAGGGCTGTCCGTGTGAGCATCCACCAGGACAATTTTAAAGATGCAGAAATTATCTTGCTAATCTGATATTGTTATGTAATCACTGTGTGTGCATGTGAATCCACAGAGCATAGCCAAACCTTCATGAGTCTTGGTTTTTGGCCCCATATCTGACCTTGCTATCTGATGCATCACCATTCTGCTTGTTAATGGGATTCTTCCAAAATCAGGATAATTGCCACTCTTAATCGATGTCCATTTTGGCAAGTTCGTTTTGAATGCTATTCTGCCATATTTAAAAGATTATTCTTATACCATTGCTTCTAATATTGCGTTTTTAACATGCTGCATGGTTTAGAAGAAATTCCCTTTTTATGATGTTTATCACAGTTTATGTTGATAAAAAGTTCTCTGCATTGTGGCATCCTTTTTTACCAACTCTAATTTATACCCGCTCGCACCCTCTCTCTCTCTATGGATTTACCTCTTTGTTGATCTGTTTGGCAACTTGGGTGGAGTTCCAGCACCCTTGCCCTTACTAATGAATTCATGATTTCTTAGTCTTTGACGCTTCTAGATAAGATTTTTCTCTGGATGTTTTTCTAATGAAGATTTCGGCATGTGTGTAGAATCTTCCATCCAGATTAAAGAGGAAATTCATACAGCTGATTTTGATGAGAAACCTAACATAACCGAGTCATTGTCAACAAATCTTCAAAGAGAGAAATCTAATACTGTTGAAAGAAAAGACAAAGGACACTCCCTAGCTGTTGATGGTGTTTCCCGCAAAGGTACCAAATCATCAAAAGGCTTAGCATCTGATCCTAAAACTTCTGATATGAAACAGCAAAATAGCTCATCCAGCACGAAGGTGCAAAAGAGAAAGCCAAAATCAATGATTGAGAAGGTGAATTTATCATCAGTTATTCTGTCTTTTCTGTCTGCAACCAATTCATTTGGTCTGTCAGGAACTATTGTGTTTATTTGTTCTTTGCTTTTCATCCTTTGCAGACTTCAAAATCCCAATTTGAAAGTGATCCTCAAAAAATTGAATTTCATAAGACAGAGGTATCTTGTCCTTTATCTGGCAGCAGCTGATATCAATTTTTATAGAAGTATAACAGTTTTCATCTGACTATAATATCTTATGGCATTTCTTCTTTTGGAATCACAGATTACTAACTTGAAGACGCATAATGAAAGTTGTACATATTGCTCTCCGTGCATACCTGTGCATCCTATGTTTCATCTAACCAAAAACCAATTTTAGTATAGGCCGCCTCATCTTTGTAGTTTGCCTTATCTCAACTATTATTGGTCTTTTTAATAAATTCTCAATCTCCACACATTCATGCTCAATTCTACATGAAATTTTTAGTTAAAAAAAAAAAAATTTTTTTTTTAGGAACTTCAAAATATTATTTTTTGCCTACTCCTTTTCCTTTGTTAATTTTTCTCACAATCTATTTATGATGCAATACATTTCAATAATCATGCAAATCAACATGCAAAAGCTTAGTTGTCCATAGGCTAAATGCGAGTAAAATAAGCTACAATATATCATTTATTTGTTTATTATTGCTTCTAAGTCTGTCAAACCATATTATTGCTTCTAAGTCTGTCAAATCATAATATTCAAGCTTTTTAACTGTTTGGCATAGGCCTCCTTAGCTTTTGAGTCAAAATATAAATGATTCGAGCGCTCGACGAGCTGCACGTGGCTCGGCTCGGTAATAGCTCATTCATGTTCGTTTGATAAGTAAACGAACGAGCTTGAACACTTTTGATAAATACTTGATAGCTAAACAAGCGAGCTTGAACAGCTTGTCGTTTGGTTCGTTTATGTTCATGAACAATATCTTTTAAAGCTCACAAACAAGCTCGTTAAGAAGCTTGATTGGAGCTTGACTGAGAAGCTCAATTAAGTTTTTAAAATAAATATTATTAAATTATTTTTACTAATTCAAATATTTAATGATTTATTTTTATATTCTTGAATCCCGCTCAATTTTTTGCTCAGGAACTCGCACTGTCTGTTGTTCGCTCCTGCTCGTGATCTTCGCTCCCACTCACGCAACAAGAGAAAAAAAAACTTGTTCGTTTAGTCCCACACCGTGCAAGCCTTCTTGATTTTGCTCTGTATAATGAAAGATTTGGGAGTCCGTTTGAAAGCTGGCGGAGGCGGACGGGTTAAGTCGAGTCTACTAAGAAGTATGACAGACGGTTTAGCAAGCTGGGTGGGGCGGACAGTATGGCAAGACGCTCGTTTAAAAATCAAACAAAATTATTTTTTTAATAGGCTCGAGCTCGTTAATGGGCTTCCATGATGCACCGACACACCTCTTGAAGAGAGAATGCAGTGTCGGACACGGACACATGCCCGACACGGCTGTGACACGTGTCAGACATGACAGACATGTGTCCGATTAAAATAATGTTTAAATTTAACCTGACACAGCTGGGACATGTTTCAGACACGGTTGGGACATGTGTCAGACACAGTTGGGACACGTGTGTCCTAATTTGTTATGATGAAAATATTTTAATTATAAATATATGATTTCCAATGAACTATTATGAGAGAGAACTAGAGAAGTATAGAAGTAAATAGATATATTCTTTGTAATTTAGATTAGAGGATAAATAAATATTATGGGAGAGATCTAGCGAACTAGAGAAGTAAATAGATACAAAGAACCAACTTTCATTATATGATATCCAATGAACTATTGCAAATCTTTCTCTTGATGAACCATAATTGGAAGCAATTGCAAGCTATGATATTCAATGATGATGATATTGAAGGCCAAAAAAAAACCTCTGAAGCTAATCCTAATAGTTAAATCTTGAATGCTTGATGTTACAGTATGTGGTTATTTGCTTATATTTTTGTGGTTGTACTAGATATTTTGTACTAAATATTTTATATTATAAGCTAGACAAGTTATCATGCAATTTATTTATTAGTTTGTCATTTTTAATATGATGTTACATTAATATCTATACAATATATAAAAAAATTATAATGTCATGTCCATGTCGTACACGTGTCAGTGTCGTGACCGTGTCGTCGTGTCCGTGTCTGTGCATCATAGATCGGCTCATTAAATGAGCCACTCGTTAATAGGTTCTATAAGCGTAAATGAATCGAGCTTGTATATGAACTCGAGCTGAGCTAGAAAATGGGGATTTTATTAGAGCTCGAGCTCGAACATGTATAAAAAAAGCTCGAATATTATTGAGCCAAGCTCAAACACGGTCTTGGCAAACGAGCTCGATCTCGAGCTCGAACATGCCGAAGCTCGGTTCATTTACAACCCTAATTTTTACCATACATCATTCCATTTTTGATTTGTTTTTTGATTATGTAAGGTCTTCTAAAAGAATATTATTGAGTCCTTGTGTTATATTTTGTCATATGTGATATTTTGTCATACCACACCTGTTGTGGTTAGAAACCTTCTCTCAAAGTTTTTATATGTTTTTCCTGATGAACCTGATGAGTTACATTCCATTTGGGTTGTTTAACACATCTTAAATTTTATATCAGGTTCATAGCTATCAAATTTATCACGCTATAAGATGTATACCATTGAGCATTTTACACTTAAGCGTTAAGGCATATGGATCAGTGTATAAATATTTTCTATGCGAGCTTTAATTCATATGCTGTCTCCATATTTTTTGATACCAAGAAAGATAATTATTTACATGTGTATTTATAGTTATGTATCAATACGATCATTATAAAAATTGATTCCCTATATTAGATTGGATGATATGCTTATATGATATTTGGGTGATTGTTTAAAATTGCCCAATTTGATGTGTGTGTCTTGAGGCTAGCTTAAGGTAAGTCGCATGCAAATTCCCTTGAGGCTTATGCCTCATAGTGGGAGAACATGGAACATGCTTCGATGGTTTGAGGCGTGTTTTGTAGCTCATGTAATGAGATGCACGATTATAATTTTTTGTTTGCATTAAAGTTTTGGAGGATGATGAAGATATCTTGGTTATTAAGGATGTGTACTTGGATGATAAATGATATGTGGAGCATGAAAATAGAGTTTTACCATCAACATTACTAGTGGGATATCTCAATATTGACTATTTTTATGAAAAAAACATGAACAATAAAGGTTGATATGGAAGTAACATAAACTTTAGCATAAATTTTATGTACTAGAAAATCGAAAGCTTAATATAATCATTGTTTTAAATAAGATGTTTATTGAATTTTAATTTAGACTTTTTGTTCTGCTTGTTTATCTTAACTCCTTGCTTATTATTGAATGTTTGGATGGCATTTCTAATGTTACTTATATTTTTGGATTACACTCAGAAGCTTAGTTAGAAGAAAATTGTGCTTAAATTTTGATGACGTTACCTGTTATTGAGTTTTTAGGAGCATTACTCTCACATACTTTATTTTTCATTTTTTTAATCAATTTAATGGTTTAATTTTTATTCCGACGACTCAATAGGCCTTGAGGCTTACACCTAATCTCATGAAGAGAACACCTCTAAACTGGATTTTTCAATTTTAAATATTGATTAGGACATTATACTTGGAAAAAAAATTCTTGCAAAAGAATTACCATCATATTCAAATGGCTAATGGAGATGTATGGGCTATATGAATGGTCTCTCATGTCTTTTTAATGGACTAATACACGTATTATATTTATAGCATTGATTCATCAAGTATTGGCAAGTTCTTGTTAGTATTTTTGATGATATATTTATTTACAGTTTGATCGAGATATAGCATCTTAATCACTTGTGTCAAGTATTTCTTAAAGGAGGAAATGTTGTGAGTAATTGGATTTGTTAGGAGATATCTTGAAATTCATTTGTGGAGAAGTTACTTTAGGGCGGTTGGTATTGATTTGATGAGATTTTGGTGCATGGGAGGATCTCTGAAGAATTCGAGGGAGTAGGTTTGAATGTTGGGTACTATGAGAAATTTATGAAGGATATACCCAATGAAACAAAGAAATGAAGAATACCATCATAATATTTTAAACTATAATTTTGTTTTAAATCTAAAATTTATTGCATAAGATAAGAAATTAAAAAAAAACATTGATGTATGGCTATCATTATACTCTTGTATCAAATTTGGTATAGGATTGTATCTTTGAGAGCCTTGTGAATCCTTATTGTAGAGAAAAAATATGTGAAGGAAGATGTTGAGGTAAATGGGGAGAAGGAAAAACGGCAATAAAGGAAGTACAACAAAACTATAGAATTATATTGATGAGGCTTGAATCCTTTGGCTCTTCTTCTAGTTTTACACTTAATCAAAGAATTTATTCTTGTTGAGATAATTCTATTTTATTGCCTTGTTGTATTATAACCTTAAAAGAACTCTTTATTTAGAATAGATCCCAAAAACAAGCTAATAAACTTAATGGATGATATTTTAAGTATCATAAGAACAATAAAAGTTATCATACTATTCAAATGGAATATAAATCATGAAAAGAATTAAAATGATCACATTGTTCAACAACAACAATATCAACATCAAGCTTTTGTCCCACTACATGAGGTCAACTACATGAATCTGTTTTCAACATTGTATCTTGTTAAAAGTCAAATTTTAATAAATAAAAGACCATTTCTAACATTTTCTAACCAAGTCTTTCTAGGTTTACCTCAAACTTTCTTAACTTAAGTTAAATCTAATACATCTACTCTCCTAACTGGGTCATCGAAAGGCCGGTGTTTTATGTGGTTAAATCATCTAAGGTGACTCACTCCAATCTTATCTTCCACTGGAGCTACTCCAAACTTTTCATGTATATGCTCGTTTCACATTCTGTCTCGAAGAGTAAAGCCACTCTTCCACTTGAGCGTCCTCATTTTTGCAACACTTAATTTTATGCTTCTTTTTTAATGGCCAATATTCTGTGCCATAAAGCATTGCAAGTCTCACTACCATCTTATAGAAATTTCCTTTACATTTGAGTGATACTTTTCTATCACAACAAGCCTGATACACTCCTCCACTTCAACTATTCAACTTGAATTCTGCTAATAATATCTCCATCTATTTTATCATC